GAAGGAAAGAAAAAGCAGAGCAAAATCTCTCCCATTCAAGATGAGAGAGCAAACCAAAATTCTAAACCACAGAAGAAACCAAATATTAAGGAAACAAATGACCTCAATAATCAGGACAATTCACCCTTATTGAAATGCAAATCAAAAAAAGACTGTTACACAGTCTAGACTGTTACAGAGAAAAAGGACTGCATTCACAAAAAAGAAAAATATATTAGCTAGATATGAACAGCCAGATATAAAAAGTCAGATATGAATAAAGAATAAATGTTTATAAAAGATGAGAAATTCTAGAAATGAAAAACACAGCAGTTGATAGAAATATCAGCATGAAAAATAAGTATATAGGATAACTCTAGACTAGTCCTAGTTTAAGAATTAGTGAATTGAAAAACAACTTTGGGGGCGCCTGGGTGGCGCAGTCGGTTAAGCGTCCGACTTCAGCCAGGTCACGATCTCGCGGTCCGTGAGTTCGAGCCCCGCGTCAGGCTCTGGGCTGATGGCTCAGAGCCTGGAGCCTGTTTCCGATTCTGTGTCTCCCTCTCTCTCTGCCCCTCCCCCGTTCATGCTCTGTCTCTCTCTGTCCCAAAAATAAATAAACGTTGAAAAAAAAAATTAAAAAAAAAAAGAAAAACAACTTTGAAGAAATTATCCAAAATACAGGAGGGGTGAATAAATGAATGACAAACATAAAATAGAAAATATAAGACACATAAGGTATATTAGGACATTGCAATATTTATCTCTTAGAAGTAGAAAATAAAAAGCATAAGAGAGGATCAATATTTAAAGGAATAATGACTGAAAATTTTCTACAGCTGAGTAAGACAGGAGTTTTCATATTCAAAACATATTCTGAATTCTTAACAGGATAAATAAGAATTAGCTTTGTGACTCAGAAGTGTTGAGCCTAAAGCAGTGCCCAATATACAGTTGTTTTCAATAATTTTTTCTTTATTTTGATCTCTAGAACTTAGAGCAATGTGCTTAGAATCGAAACATTGTGTAGTTCAACCATTCCTATGATGCTTGGATGTTGGGAGACAATCCTCGATGGGTCTCTCACATTTCTGGATGTCCTATATTAGCTTTTTTCCCAGACTATATTTCCAAGGATGCTTGTATTATAAACAGTCTTGGAAGTTAGAGATAATGTCTCTCTACAGGACAGAAGGAGGTTGGGTTTGCTGAACAGGATAGTAAAGATAATGACTGCTCCAGGACAAAGTTTGGGCAGGTTTGTTAGCCCTCTTCAAGGAGTGGTGTTTCCCAAGCTCAAGATTCCCAAACTGTGAGGCAAACCCACTGTATATACCTACCCATCCATCAGCCCTAGGACTTATGGGGCAAGGACAATGAACATGAATGTAAAACTCATGTTGCTGGCTTAACAAGAGTAGTCAAGTCCTTTGTCTCTGATCTAGGAGTCTCATATCTCCTGCCAATATGCACGAAACTGGAAGGTTAACTTATTAGCTTGTAAATAAGGTAAAACCTCAAATTCTCTATAGTTCTTGACATAGTTCTTGAGCACCTTACACAATGTTGGTACACTTCAATTTCTGTTCATTTTGTTTCTTATTTGTCTGCTTGCTCTGGGAAGAAGGGGTTGTGGCCAACTATGGAACTGGATTCAACAAAGAAGAAGTGATAGACATGTATGAGCCCATGGCCACCTCCTCACCATAAACTACATGCTTGCATCCTTCTTTTCTGCAGTTCATTCCACTCACAACATAATGTTTCTTCATTACAGATATATGAGTTCTCTCTCTCCAGCAAGGCTGTAAACTCATACAGGCAAGGACTACTACCTCCAGAGAGGTCTACCATCATTACTCCATTTACTCATGTGAATAAAGCCTGGGCTTTGGGATCAGGATTTGAATCCCTGCTAAGCCATTCATTACCTGTGCAGCCTTGTGCAAGTTAATTAGCCTCTGCTAACTTTCTCAGCTGTGAAAATGGGGCATGGGGTGTTCTAGAACATTTCACTCAGGGCTGTTGTAAATCACATGAGATAATATAAAGTCCTAATACAATGTCCCCTTTTAAGTCATGTACTATTTTCTACTCACTTCTCCCAACTTATCCCTAAATAGTGATACATTCCTGAGATGAAACTAATAGAATTCTCAAGAATAAACTGAAATTACAAAAGGCTCCTCTTTGACTTAGCACTGTCTCTAGGAATTTATCTTTAGGAAACAACGGATTCATGTACAACTCTGTTCATTACAGTGTTACTTATTAGAATTAAAAACAATTACTAACAACCTAAATGTCTAATAGGGGATTATTTAAATCAATCACTGAATAGTCACGCAAGGTAATGTTCTGCAGCAATTAAAAAAAAATCTGTCATAGAATTACATAGATTTAATGACATGGATATTCACTCTTCAGTGAAAACAAGCATGTTCCAATATGTATATCAGTGGAAGAGGATAAAGAGTCCAGAAATAAACCCACTCTTATATGGTCAACTAATCTAGAACAAAGGAGGCAAGAATATACAATGGGGAAAAGATAGTTTCTTCAATGGTGCTAGGAAAAGCTGGACAGCTACATGTAAAAGAATGAAACTGGACCACTCTCTCACACCATACACAAAAATAAACTCAAGATGAATTAAAGACCTATATGTGAGATCTGAAACCATAAAACTAAAAGACAACATAGGCAGTAGACTCTTGGACATTGGCCTTAGCAACATATTTATGGGTATGTTTCCTCAGGCAAGGAAAACAAAAGCAGAAATAAACTATGTGGACTACTTCAAAATAAAGAGCTTCTGCTCAGCAAAGGAAACCATCAACAAAATGAAAAGGCAACTTACTGAATGGGAGAAAATCCACACAAATGACCTATCCAATAAGAGGTTAATATGCAAAATACATAAAGAACTTCTACAACCCAGCACCAACAAATAATCTGATGAAAAATGGGAAGAAGGCCTGAATAGACATTTCCCCAAAGATATACATATGGCCAACAGACATATGAAAAGATGGTCAAGATCCCTTATCATCAGGGAAATGCAAATCAAAATGACAATGAGGTATCACCTCACACCTGTCAGAATGGCTAGTATAAAAAGATAAATAATTAAGTATTGATGAGGATGTCAAAAAAAGGGAGTGCTCATGCACTGTTGGCGGGAATGTAAATTGGTGCAGCCACCATGGAAAACAGTATGGAGATTCCTCAAAAAATTTAAAATGGCTATACTATACAATCCAGTAATTCCACTACTAGGTATTTACCCAAAGAAAATGAAAACACTAATTTGAAAAGATGTATGCACCCCTGTGTTCACTGCAGCATTATTTATAATAGGTAAGGTAAGATATGGAAGCAACCCAATATATATATATATCTCCCCATACAC